AGAAAAGATGGAGGAAGACCCACCACAAAGTTTTGGTTGATTTGGGGTCCCAAGCTCGGTAGTATCTTTGAGCAGTAGTTTTACCATCATGATATTCTCCGACTGGTCTAGACTGATTCTAAAGCATTGATTGTTGACAGAGGTGTTCCATTAGCCTAGCTGACCTAAATGGTCTTGAAAGTAGTACTGTAATAATAAATACATCAATATATTTACCTTGTATAGATAGGTATTACTGGAATTGTTGAGTGATTTTGTTTCTCTATTCCAAATCATATTTCAAGGTAGGAAAAGATAGAGCGGGTTTGGTTAACTTTTGAAATTCTGGGTTTGAACTTCTGAAGATCTTGTCTCATATGACTTCTATGTCCATGGAAGTATTCAGTGATGGAACTGAGATTGCTGTGTTCATGTCCTATGTTTGGGCCCTCAGCCAGGTTACCGCTGCCTGAAGAAAAGGCTCCATTGTTTCTTAAATTGGGAGACTGACAGTTTCAAAACAAAACAAAAAAAAAAAGACAAACTAACAAACAAAGAAGCAAAGGAATTCTATTGCAGTTTAGAATAATTCAACATGAATTATTATTCCTTTTTATTTGGGTAGACTGTGTAAACAGTGCCAAGACCACAGATCCAAAGCACAGATAATTTATTACTCTCAGGAACTTTTTCTGAGTGCAATAAAGCATGAGGGCCATTTAAATAAAATTTCAATGTTTCAGTGGGCCCCAATGCCTGCCACAATGTAGCAAGAGCCATGCAATGAAGGCGCATCTTTCATTCTCTCTCAATATTTACAGAAATGTCTGACTTTGCCTTGCAAGTCTTATAGAAAGCAAGGAGAATGTCTCTTTGTGAGAGATTTATAAACGTATCCTTGAAGACTGAGTGGAGAGGGGCATGTTCTGCTGACGAGCTGGCAGTTTTTCTACTCTTCACCACATTTAACTATTGTCCTTCTTCTTGTGTTGTTTCATACTAATGTGACTTTTCCCATCATATTCTCTCCCCTAAAACCTTGCAGTTCATTATACCAGAATAAATATTCGGCATTTAGGAAGCAATTTTAATACATTTTTGCCTGAATAGAAAAGTGCACGGCTATTGACTTCAGAGAAAAAATAAAGTATTTTTTGTGCTATGACCTTACAGATTTTACTTAGTCATGCAATGAGGCTTTATTCTGTGAGAAATGGTAGGGTTTTACTGACAATTTGGAGAGCTTTTAGCAAAACATTCATGATTAAAGTACTAAAAATTATTTTAGACCTAAAAGCCAACAGAAACTTGCATTCACTCGGTTAAAGCAATTTAATAAAATGCATTCAGATTAGTTCTTCTTAACAAGCCACGGAGCCTGCCAAATTGCATTGTGAAAAACGAATGAGCACACCTTTGCCGATAAGACCCTTTATGGCTATTTGAGATGAGTTTTTGCTAATTGTGTTTGACTGCTAGGTGGGAGGCTTGGAGAAGAAAGTTTGTCACACGCTGCCAAATCCTGAAGCGTGTATCATTTCCCTGTGTGTTGTTGCGCTGAACTGCTGCAGTGCTACGGCTGAATTAAAGAGAAGGGGAGCAGGCAACAAATAAATTATGTACGCACCTCTTAAATAATTAGTGAATATTTCTTACACTGTTCCTTGGTAGTTGAGACAGGTCTTATGCTTCAGGAAAATAAAGAAGTGTGTGAAGTTCCAAGTTATTTCTGATGCCTTTTGTTTGGGAGCTTGTGGGATAAATCTTCCACTGGTGGTAGAAGCAGGGGAGATAGGTGCTGTGAGCCCTGACATGGGGTAAAGCGAAGAGGAGGAGGAGGAGTCACTGACTCAACTCCATGTGGGATCTTGTGCAAAACTCAAAGGGGTTTTTTTGGGGGGTTAGTTTACTTATTTATTTTTTTAATCACTGACAGATAGCAGCTTGTGAAGCCAGCCTCAGAGTCAGGTTTTCTCAGCGGTAGGACCCACAATGCCTGTTATAAAGGTTTTAAGTTGAAGTATGAATAGAACTCCTGTCTCTTGTGGTGGTGATCTTGTTAAACGATTCAGGCTTTTGAACTATTCTGATAGCTGGTGCTGGAGAAGAAAAATGAAAATGTTTCTTTTTTTTTCACCACTGTGCCACCTCTTCACCAAATGTACCCACTAGACGAGACTTTGATAGTCTGCAGCTTTCAAACCGTTCAAGCTTGGAGGTATGGCAACAATTTCCCTATAGGAACGGGGTGTGTGAAAAATCTGAGTGCTTTCAAATTGGGTTTATAGGATCATGTGTTTGCTATAAGAATGGATTAGATACAGGGATGAAAGTGCAAATTTTCCATCCAGATTCTCGAACCCTTACCACTACGGCTTACTGTAACTTTGCTCTATATTGAAAGATTAATTCCAGTGAATTATTGGTATTGTGTTTCTGGTTGGTGGGGTGCAAAATCATGGTTGTGTGGATGCAGTGCACCATCACCTTAACTTCTGCTGAGGCTGTTAGATCACAGCCTGTTAGAAACCATATTTCACTAAGTGCTTAAAGATGTCAAAGAATCAGCACTACAGCGCTCACCCTCGAATAGCTGGTCAGCGCAGTCTCCAAGTCATCCCTATCACCCATCTGCTCCAAACATGCATTATTTGAGCACATACTTGCCTGTGCCCCTCCTGTGTATTTTCTTTGCTCGTGGCCTTCTTAATGTTTGTTTATAATATCGAGTGAAAAATTTATTTATAATGAAATGGCATTTTTGCAATGAACTACTGCTTTCTCCAAATTTTAAGATGTTTTTGCCTAATTGAAACTCCCAAATGAAAACAGATTATATTTAAATTTTCTTATCCCTTTCACTGTTGATTAGCAAATGAAAAGCAATTGCATGAACAAATTGAAAAAAAGGGAAACCAGGAAAAAATTGAACAAAGCAAAACAAACATTTTCACAAGTAAAATAAATGAATGGTTTAAAAAACTTCCGTGAAAGTTGGTTTACATTTTTCTAGCCTACTTACAAAATCTTGTGACCATTCTTCTATAAATTCAGTAACTTTTGATGCAGGTGTATTTCACACAGTCATGAATGAAGTTTAAAGAGTTTGGCACTACATTTCTCTTCAAAAAGTAAGACACGAACACCTGGTAACACCCACATTCCAGTGCTTGTTCCTTATGTGATCAGGGTGAATATTTGCTGCTGATGGGAAAACCTGAGGGTTTTGCCAGATTTGATGGTCACTCCAATTTATATGCTCCTCTGAAATTTCCGTTCTTGATTCAAACCATTTGGATCTATAAAACTGATTTCTACTCTTACCTTGCCTGTAGGACTGTAAGGCTCTTCTTGTCACTACAGTCAATTTAACTCTGAATCCCACTGCTGACTGTGCAAGTTTTATGTGTTTCAGAGAAAAATGTAAGAAATTCTGTAGTGATCAGTTGTAGGGTAATTTATTTTTTTTTTATTAATAATTGGCCTATAGACCATTTCTACTATTAAGATCTGTCCTAACAAAAAAAAAAAAAAAAAAGAAAAAAAAAAGATATCCAAACTATAATCTGAGTTCATTAGAAACAATCTTCTTTTGTAGTGGTTTTCTGCTCATGGTGCACTGATTTTTTAAAATAATTGCTACTATATGAAGAATTAAAGCATATTCCAATTACTCAGTTACTGGTGGAAAGGAAAGACTGTACTTCTGAAGGAAAAAAACCAAAACCCAACAGAAGTGTTGTGAAATTCAAAAGTGATGAAAACCTGTGACAGCTTATGAGGCATGCCCAATAAAAATTTGCAGCTATAACTGTAGTTGTCAGAAACTTATTTGTGATAAATACCCATCAGCTACAAGCATCAGAGACATATTTTGGTGAGTTTCTTTAAGGTCTCCACAGCTTTCACCCGAGAAACCTGGCAGGGCTGGTAGACTCAGTCTGGTCTGCAGTTTCTCGGTTCTTGTGCTGGATGGCAGCCAGTGCATTAGCGCTGGACCCGTTCCTGCCTGTGCCTCGAATTACTCCCCGGGAGACAGCACAGCCCCCACCAGGCAGCGTTGCGGAGAGGCAGAGTACTTGAGTAAACTCAGGCCATCTGTTGGTTGCATAAATTAGTTTTCCCCATTTGCCCATCTAGCCATAAGGTATCCACTTTTTTTTTCTTTGGTTTTTTTTTTTTCTTTCCCCAAATAATGTATTTTTTCTTTATCCAGTTCTGGTAGGACAGAGATAGGCAAATGGATTTCTTGCTACTTTTTTCTTCTTTACTTCTTGTGGTTGTGTGCATTTCATTGTAGTGGCTTTGTTTAACAAATCAAATTATCTCCTTTATATACGTGTTCTTCTTTGGAAACAGTTAATGGTTCCTAACCAGAGGAACCAAACCTCACCTTTATTCACGATAGAGGAAAAACACGATTATAGTTCCTTTCCCCTCTTCCCCCCATCTTTTTCCCCCTTTCATTTTTTTCCCCATTTCCCCTTTTTTCCCTTTTCTCTTTTTTCCTCTTATTTGTTTTCTTCCTCTTCCTCTTCTTTCCTCATGAATACTAATACTATAATATGAATAAATAGATAAAGGACTAAACTGATTACATTAGCATAACTTAAATTATTTACTTCAAACAGTATGTTTGTTGTTCAGCATTCAAGGAAGAATTAAATTCAGCAATAACTATTTGATTTCAACTTCAGTCATTTTAAAGGATCTCCATTTTACTTTTCTCTCAGCATTCTATGGGAATCAGATTCCTTGAACATTTAGCAGTGGAATAGTCCGTCACTGGAAACTGTCAGTTTTGAAGATTTATTAAATGATTTTTAGTGGCACCTTATACTGTTCAGACAAAAAGGTGAAGTATTTCTTTCACAAGGCACATTTGGATTTTCCTAGCAATAGTCTTTCTGAAGCTCTCCAGTAAGAACAGAGGACATCTTGATGCCCGTTCTGTCAAGTCACTTTGCTTATTTTGAATGTCTGTTGCCATTTTGATTTATTTCCATTTTTTCTTCTTGCAGATTTATTTGAAAAACAGGGATTTGTATACTGTAGAAGCCAACAACCCTCGTCAGCTAGTGGAAATTGCAGCCAGAGACATTGAAAAACTTCTGAGTAACAGGTCTAAAGCCTTGGTGGTGAGTACTAATGGGTTAGGTTTTCTATTTAGCGTTTAAAAAAACCTTTATTTATTATTGAAACATGCTTTTATTGTTATTTTTGCTGCCTATACACTTACGGGCACTGTCAGCTTGATGTGTACTGGACATGACATGTAGAAAGATGGCTTGTGACTTCATGGTAGAAAATGAACTCATTAGTTCGTTGGCATAGGGCAGATGCTTATAATATTGACAGACAGATTAGGAACCATGGCCAAGTAACGAATCAAGTTATAAATAGATTGGAAAATATTCCTCTAAGTGATGCACATGAATGTTTATGACTTGAAGTTCACTGTACTCTACAGTCAGTAGTGACCTTGGGGAAACAAGAAGTACAGCTTTTTTTAAATGTGATTTAAAAATAATGCTACCTTTGAAGTCATGATGTTCATTTTGGTATTATTGTTAACTACATCTGTTAATATTTGGTCTCTTCGTCTTTTTAGTTAGTCTTTCTTGATGGTTGCAACTAATTCTTCTCCTTCAACAAATGTAGTCATGTGTGAATCAGATTCATTTCCATACCTATTCTATTTCTGACTTACTAATTTAATCTGTATTTCAATCATGTTTTGTATCAGCAAAGTTAATGCTGAACTGTTAGCGTGAAGACCACGCTGCATTGTAACCTCATGATTCTTTGTGCTTTAAATATGAAGTAGCTATTTCTTTAAAGTGCTTTTGCCAACAGTCCCTTTTTGTTCTATTCCATAAGACACCAAACCTGGGTAATTGCTTTTTATGATTCCTATTCACATCACTCTGACTCGTATAAGAGTTTAGAGTGCTTTTCAGAAGATACTGACCAAACATGCATGGGGGGATCCGGATGAATTCATAAACATGCTTTTTACAGAGTAGAGCTATTAGAAATAGGTTTAAAGGATGGAACAGCAGACTGGGATTCCCTGGGCAATTACATATCCACATAGACTTGCAGATAAGTTTGGATGTGTCATTTGAAGTGAAAAAGAGAAGAAAGAGGGATTAATTCACCTAGCTGTAGACATCTACTCAGCTGGTCGCCCTAAGCTCCTTTTTTGTTCAGTGGACTAAACCAGGCACTTCTCAGTCAGGATTGACCTGACATGTTCTGAGTAAGACTTTAAAATGGGATGAACCACAGCCCAGAAGTACTTACTTCTCCCTTTCTCTATCAGAGGAGCCTCAATGTAAATGTCTATACTGTAGGTGTGTAAAGCTGGAGGAGATGAGTCCCACCCAAGCAGTCCTTTTATCAGTACAGTTTCATGCAGCTGAAGAATCAGTCCAAGAGTGAAACTGTTGCTGCGCGCTATCCTGAGGACTAGCCTTCTTGTAGATGATGAAATTTTGCTTAGTCCATTGTCTGTGCATAGGTACCACAGGAGGTACCCATTTTCCTGCCTTTTGTTCTTAGCAGGAGTTCACTCTTCTAGTTCCCATAGCTTCCCTAATATGCAATGTACATCAGTGTTGTCTGCGCCAAAGCTTCTCTGCTTCAGTCAAATGAGCATAAAATAGATATGATTTTTTTGTTTGTTTTCCTGTTTTAACTCGGTGGGCATGTGTTTATGTAGCACTCTGTGGACTTTGTATTATTATTGCAAAATATTATAAGTCATTTGCAGACCTTTGTGAACACATCAGTTTGTCCACCATTTTCCCATCAACCCGTATAAGTCTGATGGTTTTAAGTTATCACAGCCAAATCTTATATTTTCTTGAGACTCAAGATTAATGTAGGGGTTTGTGTGTGTCTGTGGTGGTTTGATCTTAAAGCTTTAAGAAAATTAAATAAGTATCTCATGCTTACTTTAGAAAAGATTCCAGAACAGTTTTTCTGTGAGTGTGGAAGAAGAAGGGTGCCTACCTCATTTTAGGCAAGCCCATGGTCACTTTTTGAAAAGGGTCATATGATTCAGACCCAAACAAAAGAAGATTAAATTAAGGGAAGGATGTTCCTTCAGTCCAGTTGCTCTTTTTTTTTTTAAAAAAAAAAAAAAAAGAATTCTTGCAGTCTTCAGAACTTCTCAGATAATTTTAAATGATCAAGTCAATGCATCTTGAAGGCAAATAAAAAGTCTTCCAGATGTATTAGTGGCTAAAGTCTTATGACTTTAAAACCAATTTTATTATTTTGGAGGATGTGACTCATGATGTCTTTAATGCTTGGGGTTGCCATTACTGGCAGTGCTGCAGTGAATGTACAATACTTATTATTTTTAGCTGCATGCCATCATTTCAGGATGTGTGTCAGCAAGACTTCTTTATGACCTCTTTATCGATCTTGCCACTTCATGCAGAGTGAAATTCATCCCCAAACATGTGGAAATAATTTAGCTCCCCCCACTACTTCACACAACTGAATTTGATTTGCCATCCTTTAAATACTGATCAATGTTGGAATTGATACAACACAGTGTTGGAACATCTCTAAATTTTTTTTTTAATTACTTTTTTTTAATGCCTGGGAACCTACAGAATTTACAAAGATTAATTACATGATTACAACACATACATAAGCAAAGTGATTGAAATAACCTATTGAAACATTCCTCTACTCCAGTTCAAGAAGGATGGAGCTGTCTTACAGAGGTTGTCAGGTTTCAGATGTTTGCCTTGCCAAAACTTTCTGTGAACTTTGTGTACTTTTTATGTCCTAATTATGTATAACTATAAAAAAATCCTAATTTTAGTTTTTTAAATAATATCTACATACATTTTAAAAATAAAAATTTATCAAAACCAGTTTCTTCAGAACAGCTTTCCAGGGGTGGTTGGTCATACGATGGTTCCTGAGAAAACCTACTTTTTGTTCTGTATCAAATGCCAGACACAGCCAAAGCCAATGCATTCAAAAATGAGTATAACCTCTCAAATAAGTAAAACTGACTTAAGCTTTTTAATATGATATTAATTAGTATTAAGTTGATTAAGCTTTTCAATATTATTTTCATTGTTTGATTTAGCTTCTGATTTCTGATTCAGACATTTTTCTCAACCATTATCAAGGTTAGCTGTTCTGGGGAATTCTGTTGTTGTTTCTTTAAAAAATGTATTTCTGATGTATATTCAGGTACCCAGGGGCTTAGTCTGACTAAAAAAAAGAAAAGAGGAAAAGGCCTAAAAAACATTACTTAAGGGGAAAAATACCCTTTTATTAATCTCAGTCCTAGTCAGATCTCTTTGCTGACTCATATTCTACATGGTTATTAATTTTGGATCACTTCATGTTGGTTTCTTTTGTGCTATCACCTGACCTTAAGAGCTCCTAACGGCTCAGATATTTATACTGGCTTTTCTATTTGTAGTTATCCCAGATTTATATTAGAGCTTTCAATGACTTTTGATTTTAAACCTTCCTCTTGATTATTTTTATACACAGGAGACATTCACTTATTATCTCCTGCATCTGAACTATTACTTTCTACTAAGAGAATTTCTTCACCTTCCATATGTATTTCTCTTTCTTCTTTTTTCAAGGACTATCTTTATGCTGGCATTTTGTAAACTTTATGTAGTGAAGCTGAATTATCTGAAATTTAAGTCTTCTCAAATCTGCTGGGTCACATTTTCTCTGAAATCAGGAGTGGAGTTGAATGGAACTGTTACTAATGACTGCACAGAGGGTTTTACCATTGGGGCTAATATGACTCAAAGTATTAATTAATACCTGAATCCTGAAAAGAGTATGATGCAAGAGGATCATACATCCTCCAGTGATGCCACGAGGAAGGTGCCAGTGAATGACATCAACAGTGTCACTGTTCAGAGACTAGCATACCCCAGGGATGCCATGATTTTCTCTAGGCATGCTACACAAACAATCTTTGGGCAAGGTTATAATAAACAAATATTAATGATGACTTTTCTAATAATGAGTTGGCTTCCCTTGAGCTGCAAGAGCACCTTTAAATGAGAAATAATTCTTGTATTCCAAATTATTTGTGTTTTCCTGCAACTTTGTGCTAGAAAACTCTCTAGCTGTGACTTAAAGGTAAAATTACTTAGTGGTTCTGTGCATTACACACAAAAGGCTTGAGTAACATGGAAAAGCTTTGTGATTTCATTTCTGATTTATATAAGAAAAGATTATAATGAAAATCTGGACAAAGATGACGTGTCCCACTGTAAGGAAAAAAGTCTATTTTTATTTTTTCATGGGTATGAATTTACTCTTGGGAGAAGCTAAAAATGGTCGTTGAAATAGGTACCTAGCTGTGGAAGGAGAAAGGGGAAAGTCCTGATCAGAACTCAGAGGGCTTTCCTAGATAGCTATTACTAGAAAATGTTAGCCACAGAAGAAAAAGTTAGGATGAAAAGAAAATGGAGAATTTTCTAGCAAAGTGTAGTGGAGGAAGAGAGTAGTATGAGTAGTAACGAGGGAGACAGGCAACAGCCTTATAGTAGAAAGTGTAGTGGAGGAAGAGAGTAGTATGAGTAGTAACGAGGGAGACAGGCAACAGCCTTACAGTCAAGGATGTCAAAGACTGCCTTGTAGTAGAGCCTGTTATTCAAAGAGTGAACATTTCTTTTTTGGTTTACTGTTGTTTACTATTGCATATTTGCCTGGCCTAACCCTACTGAACACACGCTCTTTCAATATCATGGAATTTCCGTATGCATGTGGTATCCATATGATCCTGCGAGGATCAGGGAGTTGGACTCGATGATCCTTATGTTTCCCTTCCAACCTGAGATATTCTATGATTCTATGGTATTATGGGCAAGTTAATATTCTGTCTCTATATATCTTGCTAAAAGGTGGTGTACAGACTATCTGTGCTACCATTGCAACCTGCATTTCCAGGTGTGTAATGGAAGACGGGTGGAGGTTTCATTGAAAAGGTATCCTGCAGTAACTACGGGCAAAACTCACAAAGGTTCTTGGACATTTTTCGGGTACACAACCACTCCGAGGATACCAACAAATAGTATGCCTAGTCCATTAGGCAGTCTGGCACCTAAATTGTTCATTTTCACTGGAGTTA